AGCTAAATCTCAATGAAAGAGTGCTTCACATCCACTGATCTCCTAACACCAATGACCTGGTAAAAAGAGAAAAAACAATTATTTTAACAGCTACTGCAGGTACAGAGACTGACAGGACTCAAGCAGCTTCATCCAGCTTTCCTGTTGATGACAGAACAGCTCGGGATCTTTGTGAGACAGTAAGAGACTTTGGGCTTTGTGAGCTCCCAAAAGCATGCAGACAGACATGATAACTGCATCCACAAACTCGCTGGATGCAGGCAGAAAGATTTTATCTTGAAGAACAGAGAACATCCAAGCCATCCTTGAGCAAGAGCTGTGCTTACTGATTCTTCCTATACTACATCTGTAACAAACTCAGCAGACACAGAGGCAACTCACAGTTCTGCAGCTTGACAGCAGCCACGACAAACCTACAGTGACAACAGGGGGAACATTGGCTGAGTCACCTAAAAACATAATTTTGCTGGAGAATCCCTGTCAGGACATGACTGTAGGTGTTTGATCACCAAACCTGTCAGGACTATAGGCATTGGGTAGTCTGGTTATGGGACAAAGTTCCAGGAAACCCTCTTTGTGGGATGTTTGACACCTGCTTTCCTTCAAAAGCACGTCTGCAGAGCCTTCTCATCTGGACCAACTCCCAGAAAGATCACCTTTTCCATTACATCTGCCTTGGAATTTAAGCATTTGCTATCTGAATGCCATGACAGGCCTTTCATCTTTACTCAGAGTCTCTCAGGCATGAGTGCAACTTGATCAGACCATCTCCTGTAGCACATCTCTTGAAGAAGAACGAATTGAAACAGTCAGGGTTTAACGCCTCCCCTCCTTTTATTTCTTCCTCTTAGACTGCTTGGGAAAAGTATGCAGCAATCCTCCAGCTCCAGAGCACTCCTCTTTAGCCTATCCCTTTGATGTGAGAAAAACAGGGCACCTGTGGTGTGCAAACAGAGAGGGCAGACATGAGTCTCCTGGTTACTGGAGAAAGGATGCTGCCTCCTCCTTGCTCCTTTCAGCTTAACGTGTCCAGGCATTTGAAAACCTTTTCATGTGGCTCTCTGAAAAGGACAGATGTTTCTTTTCCACTCATAAAAGAGAACACAATCCCATAGAATTGATGCATAGCAAATATCTCCCTCTGTTGTTATAAAACCACTATAGCTACACTGTCAGACACTACTAAACCCCATTGCTCAATTCTGTGGTTTGTGCTATTAAGGCAAAGCAAATTACTCTGAGGCAAAGCCAGCCTCAGACTTCTGTGTCCAAATGCCTTCTCACCCAAAGTCCCTTGTAAAGATTCACTGTTGTCACTGAGCTGTTCTCACAACCCTTTTCAGTATCTGCATCTTGCTGCGTTCATATCAGCCCCAGGGCTCCCAGCCTCAGGAGAAGGAGAAGCTCAACTGCTTTGAGCAGTAAAAAACAGGGAAGGAAAAACACAAGAAAAAGCACAAAGCTATGACAAAGGCCTTGCTTCTAAGCAACATCAGGACCCTGAGACATGGGGCTGGATGATTTCTGACAGGTAGTGTCTACCAGCTGCTCCCCATCAGCTGCCTGTTGGTGTCTGCACAGAGCAAAATCAGCTTTTGGAGCACTCTGATACAGATAAGCACGGCTGAGTAATCTGAGAGCAAAGGTGTCCAACAGCAACTCCTTCATGTGCAGCTGTTACCTTTGAATTTTCCAGAAAAAATACCAGTTTGCCCAGACAAAGATATTCATCAGCCTGATCAGGTCTGCCTGCTGCTGACCTGGATGCTACAGGAGCAAAGTAAACTGGTATTGCAGGATACCTCCACTAAAATGGCCACAGAGAAACACAGCCTGGTATTCTGCAAAATCAGTGACCAATTCCTGCTCTGTTCCTCCCAAGCACTCTCAAGCTAAAGACAAGAGAATGCATGCTCCTCTTTGGGAATGGAACACTTCTTCCAGTAATGCAACATAACCGTAGCTTTTATCCATGTTTCTTCACTGGGATGTTAGTACATTAGGGCCAGCTATAATTTGTAATAAAAAAAATCAAGCCCTACTCCAAGCCCTACTGTTATCACCTGTATAGGTAATAAAAGGCAGTAAAAATTCACTGTTTGGATGCCATATTTGACTGGTTCAACTAAGTAGTTTTGTTTTTAACAGGATAATTAAAACTGCTTTCCAAGGAAGTTTTTTCTGCACTTTTCTCTTTCTGGAACCATTACTGACACTTCCTTGAAGACAGCAGGTTGACTAGAAGCACAGAAGCACTGTAACACACCCTGACGAGTTTTCTGTCAAGTCTCTTTGTAAAGCCAGATTTGCTGCAAGCCTATTAAAATCCCCCTCAAGGAGCCTGCTTTCCTCATCAGCTTTTCCAGTAGTTACCAATTCCTCTCTAAGTAAGATGTCAGCCTCCTGCCAGGTTTCCATAAAAATCACTTAGCCCTGGACCTCTCCGAAGATGCAGTAGCTCTGGCCCTGTGCACCTTGGCAGCTGCTGAAAGACTCCACTCAACTCTAACCCTTTGAGTACGGGATGGAGACAGATGTCAGGATTAAGAAACTTCACCTTCTACCCAGATTCATGCCTCCTTGTCCAAGTTTCACGGTGGTAAGGGAAACTAATTACACGGAGAACAAAAAGGGGAGCCTGGACTGATACTCAGATACTCTCACATCCAGACATCGGTAGTGGGTGAAATAACAAACAGCTCCCAGTCACTGGGCTTCCTGCTCCATTTCAGAAGTACTGTACAAAATATTTCTTCCTCTTCTTGTATATCTCGGACCCCAGGAAATCCCCCAGCAGTCTCTACAATCTGAGCTTCCCAACCACCTTCCTTCTTGTGGGCAAGAGACTTCCTATCCAGCTCTGGACACCTGCTTTCCTTTCTCCTCCACATCATTCCACAGAAACAAGCAGTGCCACTTGCAGGGACATTAACGGACAATTATGATGTTTTCCTCAACTTAAAGACACCTTGATTACATTCCTGTCTTTTCCCTCCTCCCTCCCAGACAGCCTCAGTCTGCTGTGGGTGACAGTATGCACACTGTTGTGTCTGACAGTTCTAGTGAAGCCAAAACATACTCACATGGACAGGGCAGAAATCCGTACACAATATGGTTGGCTGACAGCTTGGGAGGTAAAGAGGCTGTGCCCAGAGTGAGGAAACCTACAAAGAATCCTTTCCAGTTTTCTCTGGTCATCTCCTAAGCTATCTGATTTAAGGCGAAGAGGGAGTTCGCATGAGAAGGGCCCAGCATTTTCCAACTTCAACAGGAGTTTAAAGTGAAGCAGCTCTGCAGTTCCCTCTCTTGGACCTGCCGGCCCTTCCTCCCACCTCTTTCTGCAGCTGCTGCCACTATCAAACCTGGTAGCAGCAGCAGTGAAACATGCAGTGGCTGTGCAGCATGAGGCAGCCTGGAACAAGCAAATGCCGAACCCTGCAGGTCCAGAAAAACTACAACAGTACCCAAGATCTGTTCTCTTTTGTGGGCACACTTCCTGCTCTGACATGAGCGTGGAGAGAAACTGATACAGAATCTTCAGGCAAGTAAAGCACATGGGAAGGCAGACAAATCCCTCCCAGCATGTTAGCTCGGAGAGGGGCAAGAGCCCCTGTAAACCCTCAAACCTGCCAGGAGCTGCAAGAGCACAGCTCAAGTCCGCGGGGCTCACAGACCTAGTTTTGCCTTGCAAAAAGCCACCCCCAGAGAAGTACGGCCCAGTTGTTGTGATGAATTTCAGGAAGCAATGTGCACTGCAAGAAAGGAAATCCTAATTAGATACTAAGAAACTAATTTTCAGAATACTGCTGACTAAATATTGGAACAAAAAACTCATGGGAGTGGGAAGTTTCCAGACCTGGAGATATTCAGCACTCAACAGGACTAGGCTTCCCTGATGGCAAAGCTCAATCTGCTTTCGGTGGGAAACAGGACTGGAGACCTCTGCAGTACCTTCCTGCCAGAATAGCTTATGGTTCTTGTGTTCTAATGCTGCTTAGAACACTCACAACACTGTCATAGGAGACAACAGCAGTTGAAAGTCTAGACAACTTTTGAATCACAGCCTCACCTATCCACATGTTAACACTTAGCTCTGCAAGTAAAGAAATAAATGCCAAAAAGCCACAGGGTGTACATTTGCAGAGCACTGGCTTGGAGATCACCACTGTTACTCAGCATCTTGCACATCTGCTGTGGCCATGTGGTAGAAAAGTGCTGGATTGATGACTTTCAGACACAGATGTTCTCAGTTTACTCCTTTCACCAACTTCCTCTGCCATCACACACATAACGAAGCCTGGTCAAAGCAACCTGTGATCAGTATTCACCCTTTATGGTTCATGCAACCACTGGATTTACAGCAGTAGACTTACTGTTACCATACCACGATTATCTATGGCAGACACTGCCTTGTACATCACTCTAGAAAACATGGCTAGTTCTGTCTGCAGTGCACTCCAGCTGGAGCAAGAAGCCAGCAAGAATCAATAAACTGAATAGAAAGAAATGGCTTACAAGATACTTATGCACTGAAATGTCATATTCTTCAAAAAAGCTCCAGATGCCTTACATCCGAAGTCATTCTCACAGCAGCAACACTCCTATTCCTAAGGAACAAGTGATACACTCACCAGGTTTTCTGATGAAGAACTGATTGCAGTGTATAAAGAGTAACCATCACAAGCAAAATACAAAGAATCATGAAATGGTATTGTTTGGAAAGAACCTTAAAGTCACCATGGCTAATGACACCTTCCACTGACCAGGTTTCCCAAAGCCCCACCCAACCCTGCCCAGAAGACCTCCAGGGATGGGGCACCCACAGTTTCTCTGTTCAGCCTGTGCCAGCACCTCACCAAGCTCTGTGTAAAGAACTTCTTCCTAGTGTCTGATTTAGTCTAGCCTCACCGGAAAGGGCAAGCAATGCCCTAATGCCCTAAATTGCAAAACACAGCTCTCCCTTAGGCAGCCCATGTACAGTCCTAAGGAGCTATGCTTACTCTCAGGTCCTGGAGGTAGCACTGTACAGGGTCATAGTCCACCACAGGAAAGAGGACCCTTGCTCCAGCACTGTTCTTCACCACTCCCCGGGAAAATGACTTCACTGGCCGGTCCACACTCTCCAGATGTCGAGGGATCTGATTTGAGTTCAAATGGATGAGGACATCATAGAGGTCCAAAGGAGGGCGGAAGACAATCTGCAGGAAAAAAAAAAGACAAGTGCCACTTAATAGAGGACGCAAGCAAGCAGGAGCAATGAGAGAGATATGCCAAGTTACTGTTTGTATTTTATTCCCTTCTCCCTAGAAAGCAGTAAAATCAAAGCTGAGTTTTTGCAAGAGCATGTCAGAAGATTGCCAGAACATCCTCAAGAAAACATGTCTGTAGTGGACTGATGTGGAGCTCCAATCCAGGCTAAAACACATCCCTGTCCCAGCACAAGCTCTGCTTACACCAGACGGATGTGACCTTCACTCCCCTACACCCCATGTGTAATCAAGACACGGTCAATAGAAAGGCAGTATCACCTACAGCCCTCTCCTGGAATACAGGCTGAATGTTTCTTGGACCAGAAAAACACGCTGGGAAGGTTTCACTTTACTCCTGCAGTTCAGCTGTCCAGCAAGCTAAACCCTTTAACAAGGGAGCTGCTCCCTACCCAAACCAGACATTTAGACAGAAGGGCTACAGCTTCTACTCCACCAGTCTCCCAGATCTGCAGAAAGAGGTAACCACTATCCCAGGATTACAGAACAGTCCCTAGAGAAGAACGTTCCAAAAGGCCAAGCTGGTCCTCTTCAGTTCTGACCCAAGTCTCCAGGAAAATCACATGAGAGCACAACAGTGGAGTGGGAAATTCAACAAGCTAAAAAAGGTAACCACATTGATGCAGTTTCCCAAAATAAGAGAAGGGAACCGAAAGGATTACAGGAACCAAGCTAAACTTCAGAGGACATAAAGAGACATCTAACAACAGGACAGTCCCATCTGTCCAACAGGCATCACCCCAAATGGCAGTAGCATCTTCCAGCAAGTAAAGACAGGATGAGAACACAAGCCCTGCTAATAGAAGAGAGCAATTCCAGAAACAAATATTTGGATAGAAGGAATGTGGAATTCTATATACAGCTGTATTAAAACAGAAATCTTAAAATTATCTGTAAATTTTCATAGAAATGATGTGGGGACACGGACAGAGCCACTGGACATTGCTCAGCATGAGTTGGTTTCTAGCCAGGCTGGAGAACACACACAAAGAACACTGACCAGCACCAAATCTCAATGGTGGCCCACCAGGAGTTGCTCTCTCACTCTTTTTAAGTCTGTAGCTTTACTGCATTCCTTGTGAAAGCAAAGAAATGGAGCTCACAAACCCATTTCTGCATCCACGTGAAAACTGGCACATCCTTAAGTGACCCAAACATAAGGGGCAAAAAATAAAATAAAAATAAAATTCAAAAGCCTTGGAGGACCCCATTAGACATATAAGAAGCATCTCCAAGTTGCCTTGGAAAGTCTTCTCCCTCTGTCCCAGGCTCATGCTTTGCTTAAAAACAGATTAGCAGCTCTGGAAATCCCAAGTTATCCCCAGGGAACATGACAGACCTGGGTGGACAGTGGTACAGACTAGAGAGATGAGGAGGCATTTCACTGCAGTGGCCAAGAGGAAGGGAACGGGATTAAAATCTGAGGACACCAAGTCAAGGATTGGGGAGAATGCTATGGTCAGGCAACAGGCTGTTTCAGGAACCAAAGCCCTACAAGCCCAGCTCAAATACATAGCTTTGGTCTCGTCTCTCTGCTGTAACTGTGTAATTGTGAACCAGGCATTTCTCACACACACAGCCAAGTCCATACATACTCCTCCCCGCAGCGGGGTTCAGACATCAAGTCTGAAGTCCTGACAAAGACCAGACCCTGGGGCAACTCAGCCTCATCTCAGCACAACGCAGTTGTAATGCGAGGTCAACTGCAAAAAGCTGGCACCCAAGTAAGAGTTTTATACCAGACCAGCAGCTGCAGTGACATCTCCTCCCTAACTCTGGGTTGTTTCTCTTCCTTACCTCGGCTGAGTCAAAGGCTCCTGACAAGCAGTGGGTGGCTGGAACAAATGGGGCCCAGAGAACTAAGAAAACACTCCTGAAGCCTTTTCCAGAACCACTTCCCAACCTCCAAACAAATGATGCTTTAAAAGGGAAATTCATCCCAACAGCAGCACTGCTTTGCTCCACCATACATGAAATTACCTAAGTTAATGTGCTATTTTCAGCTCCAGTGCCTATGAGCAGTCACAAAACAAAGCAATGAGTTCAGAAAAAAATAAATAAGTTTCTTTACAGCTCATAACAGACAATGCTCCCACTTCAGGTAAATTTCACCCCACTAGTATTTCAAGCAAAGGACAAAGCAGAAGTGAAAGCAGTATCAGCAAGTCCATTATTCACTGCTTAAGCAGAAGAAAAGCCATTCTAAACCAAGTACCTCTAATGTCCAGATACTGTTTGGCTCTCCAAGTCCTCTCAGCTTTAACTGCCTACTACTTAGTACATCAAGACAAGCTCCCATCCAAGACTGACTTTATCTCTTTTCAATGAAGAAATAAACGTATCTTAATCTCCCATACCCATTTGAGTAATGGATTGAAAACAAAAAATCATGTTAAAAAAAAAATCAGTGAGAAAGCAAATAGGGATAAAATACATACAGCCTTTCTCCAGTGCTCAAACTACAATAAAGCCTTCTGAGAATGTACTAGCAAAATCTCACCAGCCTGGGACAGACTTGAGCACACAAGTCAAAGTTGCACAGCTATGCTGAGGCAGTCTCAGAGGTACTGTTTCCCCCATGGAGATGTGACCAGTTCGGCACACAAACATCATGTGCTTGCTCACACCCACGACAATCAGAGAATACAAAAAGCTTCAGGGTAAGTAAGTTTGGATTAAACATCATCAGTTAGGACAGAGCTGCTGTGCACAAGCAGGTCAGCCAGAAGCCAAGGCACCAGTCTCTGTGCTCCCACCATCACTGCTTTTTGTCCCAACACAAGTGCATGAGGCACAGGGTGAATCCCACCAAATGCTTCTCAACGATCATCACTAGAAGACCAATTTTTTTCTTTTTTTTTTTTTTGGTTTTTTTTTTTTTTTTTTTTTTTTTTTTGATATAGTGACCAATCTATTTCCTCCCTCAGACTATGATTGCAGCTCAGCTTACCACAGACCAGACTCCTATTCTGGAGCAGAAGAGCTGGCAGCTACAGAGGATCTAACAAAGGGAGTTGAAATGGCTGCAGCTTCCTTGATCAACAACAGCACCTCTGACTCACAGGCACAGAAGATGCCTCTTTATCCTCGGCAGTTTAACTAAGCATGAAGCATTATAGTTCAAATACTTTTTTTTCTTTAAAGTAACTTTTCAGACATATGGCTACAGATAGCAGAGGGAAGGTGGAATACATTTGCTCATTCTTCCAGGTCACTCCCCTACACACAAGCTCACAGATGAAGACTGAGGAAGCTTTCTGGGTTTTGTCATTTGATTCACTTCACAAAGCCAGTTTGCAGATCACTTCTCTTCCCAAGCAAGCAGCTCAAGAAAAGAGCAGGTAACCTCATCTCATAGAGCGATTCAGAGATTTTACCATTGCAGCAGCACAAGTCTGTGGCAGAGCCAGAAACTGATCCTAATTACCCCCAAGCTCAGCCTCCCAAAAGACATCTTTCTTCCTCAAGCCTTTCAGCTCTTCTCAGGAACTGGTAACTCAACCTCGGCCAAAAGCAGATCCTACAAACACCAGGGTTCAAAACACCCTGCTGACATCCGAAATAGAAGAAAATAAGCGTGAAGCCCAAAGTATCACTGTCATGGTCAGACACTGGGCAACAGCATCATCACTGGAAACACTACATTGGGTAAGATCACTTACCAGCAAGTCCAAAACCTCTTTTCTTCCCTCACTAGCACCATCACTCATACATGCATTTTCTAAAGTACAGGGCGTGTCGAAGGTAAACTTATCCTTTAAAAGGCATTAGGAGCCAGCAGGTTTGTTTCCTTCAGTAATAAGTAACAATGCAAGGAACAGAAAGCTACTAGCACGGGCTTCCCCTCAAGGGGCTGTTCAGAGACACTCACCCCTGCCCTAGGATCAGGTCTAAAATAGATATCCAAAGCCCATAATGATACACAAGGGTGGCCAAAGTGTTACAGCTAGCCACAATGCTAATTCCAGATGACAAAGAGAAGCAATGTGAGGATTCAGGCAAATCTCAGCGGAAAGCAGCATATGGGTGAACATAAGTCCCCTCTCTGCTGCTTCCTATTTTAATTATTGCGGGAAACATATCTACTGAGTCTGCAACCCACCCCTGTGACCTCGGCCCTGACCTTTCTTGAGGCCTTGTACTGAGTCTTCAGCTTAAGTACAAGCTATCTCCCACAGAACAAATCAACTGCAAATTGTGGCCCTTCTACCCAGACATCCAGGAGCACAAGAAGATCCCATCACCACCTTGCCTGGGAGCAAAGTGGCAGGTAGCTGCAAATTCACACCAAAGGCAGCCAATAATCACTCCATAACACAACATCCTGGATCCCTTTCAATCTAGAATTTGTCTGGCCATGAATCAGAAAGGAAGAGTAGTTACCGGCTATTCTGCCCGTTATCATCTTCCTCTTCCTCCATCCCACAGAGACCTCCCAACAGAAGGGGGTGTAGTGGTTACTTGGCTATGGGAAGGTGCAAAATCTGTATGCAAGGCCCATGCACATGCCTTGCTCCACACATCTCTTCACTAGGAAGCAGCATACCTCTCGGATGCAAGGAATGAATCTGTATGCTGAGGCAGGCCCCCTGCCTCTTTTCTCATTCCTCTATGCCAAAATACCCTCATCCCTTCTGAGCAGTATCAGGTTCAGTTCTCAGCACCCAAGCGTATGGCAGGAATTATAAGAAAAAAATGTAGCAGAAGAGAGGAAGATGTAACACCAAGCACTGCTACATATGAAAGTCTCCTCCTCCTAACTGCATCAACCTCCCCCATATCATTCTCATAATCCTCTGAGGAAAATGCCAACTGCAACAGCACTGTGCCCAGGAGAGGAGATACAACAATCACAGCCATTCACAGTTCCTGGCCATCACATGTCACTCTTAAACACGAACAGTGCTGCCAAAAACAGCAGCACTTGGCACAGCAGCCCTTCACACCTCAGATCCACCAGTCTAGATCTCAGCTTAGCTGCGCTGCTCTGTGGTTTTATAGGCAGCCCCAAGCAAAATCAAGGGTTCTCACAGTGCTAGATGCTGCACTGAAAAATGTGTTTTGACAAATATTACGCAGTGTATGCTGCAGACCTAAAAGCAGGAGATAGGTATCTCAGAGCACATGTTTTATGGAGGAACCTGGTATACTAAAACCAGCGTTTGCGAGGTGACTGACCTGGTCATGAGACAGGTTACAAAGCCAGCATTGAAAACATCCACACCACAGATCAGAATAAAACCACAGAAATAAACCATCTATCCCATGGCAGAGACAGAAACGGTGCTCCTGTTTAACAGAAGAGGACACCAACACAGACCAGAGGATTTTGCTCATGGTCCTGAGAGACAAGGAAAGAAACCCCTATTTCCACATTTCAACTTGATCTCTACATAGCAAAGATGCAATGACTTGGATTTTAATTCTGCTGAAGGACCATGCTTCAGCTACACAGGGGACCATACAGAGTTGAGCCCTCTCTTCTCAGCCAGGTATTTCATGCATCCTTCTTTTTAAACCAATTTAGGTAAACATCTTGTTCCTCCAGCCTTCTCTAACCTTTTTCAAACAAGCAGAAAACCCCCCATTCCTCTCACCAGTTTCTAACTGTAGCTGCTTCGCTGCAAATGCTCACTGTCGAGACAACAACAAGGTCACCCAAAACTAAATACCATCAGAAGAAGTCCTGCAATAGCATTTGTCACTGAGCTCAGTTCAGATTAAACTAGAAGGGCTGAGGAGAGGCTTCTGATGTCTGCAAAGTCACAGGGCAAGCAGGGAGCCAAGATGAGCTGTTCTTCCATCGCAGGAGATGTGGAGAGAGAGAAGATTTGTAAAATTGCAACTGGGCAGAAGTTTTGGAGCTCAGGTTGCGCACACCGTCTGCACATGGGGTCAGGACTGGTTGGGCAGCCTCCAGCTTCCATCTGGATGGCAGGAGCTCCTACATGATCAGCTCCTCTCCCACTCTGCTTTGCCAGAACCTGGAAACCCTCATGTTGTGCCCCAAGGGATTACCTTCACATCCTGGCTGCTGAGCGGATCCATGAGCTGCTCCTCCAGGGCCCGGACAGACTCTGAGGCCAACACAAGAAGGCGCTGCAGGATCTGTGGAGGAAAGAGAGCTGTAGGGTGAAACTCACGATGCCTTGGACATAGCAGGAATCCCACTTACCCACTGGGCCGGGGGAGCTCACCAGCACTGAGAGTATAGAAACACCCCCAGGCAGCAGGCACTGCAGTGCACAGACAGGAGGCCCCAGCTCACCTGTGCTGAGGGTCGCTCCTGGGTCCATACTGAGTTCCACTTGTCTTTGGGGGTGGCGATGAACATGACAGGAAGGCGAGAGCGAGCAGCCACAAACTTGTTCTTGATCTCTGTGCAGTCAGCATCTAGAAAGGGCAGGCAGATGGGTGAGATGCTCCACTGAGAGATGTCAAGAACAGCATTAGAAACTAACTACCTTTTGCCCTTTCCCACGGAGCCTCAGCTGAAGCATGGCCTTGGCACTGCTCTGCTGGTGTGGCCACATGAAGCTGGATGATGCTGGAGCAAGGACTGACTGCTGGATTTGCTAGGAAAGCAGCCAGTAGCACCTACCAAACGCTGAAGGACACACCTCTGCAGCAAAGCAGCAACACCAGCAAACGCTGCAAGCATCTGAGAGAGAAGCCAAGTAAGTAGGTCTGGGCTTGCTCTGCTGTCTACAAGTATCTAGGGATATCCAGGGAGATGGGAGGCAAATGGATAGGGGCAGGCTCTTCTCAGTGGTATACAGCAACAAGACAAGGAGCAACGGCCCAAAAATTGAACATAGGAAGTTCCATGCCAACATGCAGTTGAAATTCTTTACAGTAAGGGTACTGAAACAGGTTGCCCAGAGAGGCTGTGGAGTCCCCTTCTGTGGAGTTAGTCAAGACCCTGTCTAGATGACTAACTGTGCAACCTCATGTAGGATACCTGCTTTAGCAGTGGGTTAGGACTCAATGATCTCAAGGTTCCTCCAACCTCTGTAATTCTGTGCTCTTGCACTTCACTCTGCATTTGCTAACGAAGAATTTTGGTGACAGGATGCAAAACTTAGTGAATCTTTGCTCTGAGGCAAAGATTCTCATCCAGGCACTTTCACACGGGTGCAGGCATAGACCAAGGTGCAGTCACTGGGTCTAGGATGGGCTGGGAACTCAGACTATAAACTAATGAAATAGTTTACACCTAAAGAATCTTCTGTCTTGTTTTTTAAGTGGAAAAACAGCTCTTTGGTCAAGAAGACTTCCCTGTTTGTTCACTGACAAAAAAAAAAAAAAAAAAAAAAAAAGTGGAACGTAGAAAAATACAATTCTCCAAAACCCACCTCTTTCCCAAGAAAAACAGAAAGTTGGGGGAGTGCTGAAACCCACAGAAACAGCTGCTCCCTTCAGGAGCTTGCTCGCACTCCCATACAGGTTCTTCATCTCTTCTAAATTAGCCTTAAAAGCTAGGTATTGTTATCTCACCCACACCAGCATCTCAGTAAAGCCAAGACAATCACACGGACTAATCTGGCTCCTGAGAAAGACTGCAGGTACCCAAAAGATGATCAGACAAAATACAAGGAAGAGAGCAGGATCATGGGTCTGCTTGGATGCATCAATACGCTCCTTTGGAAAACAGACATATCTACCAGGAAATCCCCAAAGCTCATAAATAAACACAGGAGGATTGTAGCCCTTCTTCCTGGCAGGTTTCACAGCTGGGGACTGGTGGACAGACCCTGTGATGTGTGGTGGTCAGGAACCAAGACAGCCAGGAGGCTTCAAATTTTCCTGTTTAAGAGCCCAGCTGCTCCACTAGCAGCCCAAAGGTGACTGGCTCCTCCTACACAACAAAAGATGTGGCCTCAAAGGATCAGGACAAAGCCTCAAGCCAAAATGCTGGCTACTGATGATTGGAAGATTTTAGAGACACAACTGCATTCAATACTCAGATCTCGGCAAGAACAAAATGGCAGACCATTACCACCAAGATTCAACTCGTTTTAGGCAGATATTTGGGGACAGGGAAGAAAGAACCAATTTAAAAAAAAAAACCCATACTCACACAAATCCCAAAGCCAAGTTATACACAGCAGGATAAGAGGGAAGGAATGGAAAATCTTCTTGCCCTATCTAGAAGCTGTAAAATCCTATATATACAAGAACTCTAGAACTGGGGTTGACCAAAGGAGGGCACAAGACCTTCACACTGTGGCTCTCCCACAGCTGTGGCCTCTGTGCTTCCTGCTTACCTGTGAGGCCAGCATTCAGGTTGACGATGAGCGGGCTATTTCTCCAGTCGTAGGTTGCCAGCAGATTGAGGAAGCGCAGGAACCCAACCTGGGGAGAGCTAAGGCAAGACAAAACAGTTCAACACCAGCATTTATTTCCCCTAACCCAGCACCGGCTTCAGGAACAGGATTCCGGAGTGTCCTAGCACTGCCTAAGCCACAGACTGCCCCCAAAGGGATGTACGAAGTGAATGGGGAAAGCCCAGGAGTATAGGGCACTTACCCCTTCTCCAGAACATCAGTGAGCCCATGCAAAATAGCTTACACTAGAAGACGGTAGGTTTAGACTAGATATTAGGAAGAAATTCTTTACTGTGAGGGTGGTGAGACACTGAAACAGATTGCCCAGGGAGGCTGTGAATGCCCACACTCTGGAGGCATTCAAAGTCAGGCAGGATGGGAATGTGAGCAACCTGGTCTAGAGAGAGATGTCTCTGCCTATAGCAGAGGGGTTGGAACTAAATGATATTAACGGTTCCTTCCAACCCAAACCATTCCATGATTCATCCCATGCATCTCCCAAAACCCAGACTCTTGGGAATGGAACAAGTGTAAACTAGAGACAGGGCTTGTCCCATCTCCAGTACAAAACCAAATGATGCTGGCCAAGCCCTCGCACCTGCCTCCCTGCAACCCAATCTGCTTACAGAGCAAAGTATCTGGGAAGGTGGGGCTCTTGCTAGCAGTGTATTTTAGGATACAGGAAAGCTTTCCAGACACATTGCTAATTTGGGAAGGAAAACAGATCTTTAGCACAGGTCAGCACAACCTTTTGCCTCCACACAAAGCACAGAACCAATATAACTTGATATTTGAACATTCCACCTGCCAGAGGACAGCATGCAATAGGACCCAAGGGAATTATTTCCCAAAATGCTGCTCTGTTCAGCTTCCAGCAGCTGACCTTCTGCCCTTCCCTTGGGAGTTCTTTCCAGGACAAACACAAGCTGCAGCCATGAGCACTGCTATAACATCCTTCCCAGAGAACCAAGGACAGCCAACACTCTGGTTGCCACCACAGAATGTTCACCCCTGCTTCTCCTAATAGTCACCCCTAGGACAGGGAGCCCCACCAGTCCTCAAGAAAGCAGAAAACATGCAGCAGATGTACTGCCAGCACCCACCCAGAGGCCACAAGGATGCTTGCTCTCATCCTTATCTGCCTTCTCCATGCACAAAGGGTGCCCACTGTTCCATTCTGAGCTCCTCATCCTCACCTGGGTGGCGTGAAGGGGGCTGGGTGGAGGAAGAGAGATGCCACAAGCAAGTCCACACACTCCTCAGAAACGCTGTCACTCAGGAGCTGGGCACTGATCCACCGCTTGGCCAGCCGGCAAGTGCTGCCAAAGACAGGATGCTGCTGCTGGAGCCTGCAAGAAGGCAGAGAAGTACCCATGACTGTTCAATAGATACATCCCAGGACTCCAAACACTGTCTTTGCATTTGGGACAGAAAAGAAAAAATAACTACTAGGAACATGAGTCCAGCATCACAAGCATGAAGCACTCTATGGGTGTTATGATTCTGGGAAAACAAAGGGGAAATGCTGTTACATGCTCTCCTTTAACCACATCACTCTTTGGTACTTGTTTTTCCATACCAGAGGCCTTCCATGTGACAAAAGGGACAGCCAGTTCCCCTCTCCCATTCCACCAGCTTACAAAGAGGGTTGAAGAACCACTTCCCACAGTAAGGCTCTCTCTACATCACCACCTTCCACCATGCAAGGGCACTTCCACTCTACATAGTTCCTGGCAGTACCCTACACTGCAGACTCCCAGCCTTGCCTACCCATGCAGGGAGCTGGTTAGATAGGGCTGATGCAATGTCTCCAGTTCCAGCCGCTGAGACTCCTCTGTGTCCTGGTACTTCAGCATCCCTTCTGGAGTGACTACTTCCTTCAAGATTAGGGGCTCACGATGGTAGGCCACTTGGAGACGGAAAACATAGCCATCCTGAGATGAAGACAGGTGGTGAAGTCAGCCTTGGTGGCATTACACCGAATCACAAAATGGCGAGGGTGGGAAGGGACCTCAAGGATCATGAAACTCCAACCCCCCTGCCATGGGCAGGGCCACCAACCTCCCCATTTAATGCTAGACCAGGCTGCCCAGGCCTCCATCCAACCTGGCCTTGAACACCTCCAGGGATGAGGCATCCACAACCTCTCTGGGCAGCCTGTTCCAGCACCTCACCACTCTCTCTGTAAAGAACTTCCCCCTGACATCCTACCTAAATCTTCTCTCTCTTAACTTAAAACCATTTCCCCTTGTCCTGCTGCTATCTACCCTTTTAAAGAGTTGAACCATTACAACCAGATGTTGCTTTATGCTACACTCCAAGAAAACAGTGGCATCCCAGCAACACAGCAATATTTCCATGCTTCCTGCTAACCAGCCAAGCATCCAACTCCAGTTTTTGTTCACCATGACTGCCCCCATAACCCCCTGCTTGTCTCCTCTACAAATCACCCGTGGATCTGGAGAACGTCTCCACCACCTCTCCTACCTTGTATACATCAGTGTGGGTGACTGCAGGTCTGCAGATCAACTGGTGCTGCTGCTGGAGAAGCTCAGCCAGCTGAAGGTGGAAAGCTGCCTTGATGCGCTTGATGGCTTCTTTGTCCTGTGGCCACTGGCCACTGCCTTCCATGTGGCATATGACTGGATGCAAAGAGACAACAGGACACCAGTGAGGCTCATGTAGAAGTGAAGTGCTGGATTTGGGTGTCTGGGACTAGAGGTTACGGCAGGAACGCAGGATGAGCTGGGGCTCTGGTCCTGCCTGCAGCACACAAATACAAAACTCAGCAACACCACTTCCCTGTTTTCCCCCACCAAATCATCTTCTTTTCACCTCTCCACACTCACTTTTCAAAGGGGTTATATAAGCAGGACAAGGCTTCTCCTCTGAAGGAAGCAGCAAGTGCCTGATCTTGACTTGCTTATGGAAGGAGTAAATTGGCTTCATGGGAATGGGAGGGAAGACCTGTGAGAAAGCAGCCATCAGCAACTGAGAATACATAGTACAAACACAGTGGCACGACACACCCTCACCCCTAAACCTCCTGTTCTTACAAAGCTCAAGTATGAAGGGCTTGGCAACTTAAGCACAGTCAGTCCTAGAGACTGGATGGCAAAGAGCTGCACACCCCAAGCATGCCCAGTAGGCACAAAATAATGAACAGTTCTCTCTGTTCCTCCACCAATCCAAGACTCAACTGTCAGGGTACCCCCCCAGCTCCTTACAAACTATCCCTTCAGTGTGCCATGCCCAGGCATACTCACGTCCGTGTACCGAAGGGCTGGGTGGACACCTTGTACAGCTGTCACTGTTAGTGGCAGCCCCTCCAGGTTCCACAGCTTGCGGCTCAGGTCATCATAGGAGCAGACAACGCTGACCATGTCCTCCTCACCCGTCCCTAATGCCTACAGACACACAGAGAATCTTTGCTTTTACTTCTCCCATTACTGTGGCACAGGCACTCACCTTGCATTACTCTTGGCCTGCATTACAGCCAAGTCCTGAGGAGCTGGGACTGCAAGCCAGCTGCTCCTGGACAGTGCATTCAAGGGAGAGGAAAGCCAATGGATAATCTGTCTGCCAGCTGCTACAGGCATACAAGACACATTTCAAGAGAGAAATGAAATTATTTCCTGTGCAGGATACTAAAGCAGCAATATGAGTTTTCTCCCTAGAAAGGGAGAAGTTTAAAATGATTTGGGGATAAAGAGATCACACACTAGTGAGAATTCTGCTGCTGCCTCCTGTCCAGTTGCTGCATCACAACCAGAGGCAGCAGAACATTGCTCTAACTACATCCTTAGAAAAGGCAGAGCTGTAAAACATGGCAAAAACAAGGTCAGAAAATACTCATCTCATGAACTCTGGAGAGAGTACATAAGAAGCACTGAAGGGAGAACTGCTGCTGTCTCTGCAGCTTCTACCATCTGGAAGCACAGCAGAAAAACGTAAAAGAGGAAACACTGCTATTGTAAAACAGCACAGATCATACTTGGCCGAACCGAGACACATGCATTTGGCTTCCCCAGGCTTTATAGCAGAGTAGCAGCACCCTCTTCGGGATGAACTGGACATGACAACCCCTTGATATGAGAGGCTGCCTGTTTCTAGAGCCAACTGCACTATCCATCTTCCCTCACACATACACTCTGACCAAAAGCTCCCTAGACTGCCTGTACATGAAAACTAGAAAGCAGAGACAGTAAAACCCACCATCAGACCTGCATAAACAGGAATAAAATTTCTCCTTTGTTCCTGAAGGACTGGTTATAATCAGACTTCTGAACACCTCTCAGGCAAACATCCCTTCTCACAATGGGATCTATCAACCCTGCTTATCTCAGGCTAGCTTGTAGGGAGAAAGTGCACACAGATTTTGCAGCATTATCACACAGTCAGTACAAACTGCCATCTCATCCAAAAACCGACACGTGGCTCTGCGCAGACTGCAAGTGAAGCTCATTTCACATCACCAAGCTGGTTTTAACAATGGTCCTGGTGCAGAAGACTCCTCAGTCATATTTGCTACTCTTTACTCTTAAAAAGGTGAAAGGTGAAAAACAAATTTCCTCTTCCATTCAACAACCAGACTGGGTTGAGCAAAAGCCCCAGCTTTTACTAAAACATCAGTAAAGTAGAGCTGAAGTACTTGGGTCTCATCTCCAGGCTTTAATTTCACATGTTGAAGAGCTGAAGTACAAATGTGGACATTTCCTAGCCTACAAGATGCATCTTTTTTGTTTCAAAGAGACACTTCTTTGCTTCAAGTGCAGATTCAGCAGCAGCACTAGGCATGCAGGATCAAGCACTTTGCATCGCGACAGGAAATACCCTCCTCCTGGGCTTCCCAGGTGAACTTGCAAGATGAAAACACAGCAGCAACCAGCCAATGCCCTGAAGGATGCAGAATACGAAGAAGTGCAGCCAGAGGATCACAGGAGGACCATGATGTAACCATAGATTACATGGATGAACTAAACACAAGCAGAAATGGAAAGCTGGAGGAATGCTTAGAATCACAGAATATCCCAAGCTGGAAAGGACCATAAGGATCACAGAGTCCAATTCCTAATGCTTGCAGTGGATGCTTGCAAGGGATAATGAGGTGTGGATGCTTGCCAGAGCCAGAGTACTTCAGCAGCTATGCCTTGGGTTAGCAGAAAAGGCTTGGCAGATATATTGCTCTGCCTGAGTGCCTGCAGATAGGCACTTTCCTTACTCTCACTACCACCTCAAGACTTCCCCAGCTGTGTCTGGTCCACAAAGCTCCCTACAGCTCTTCTCAGATTATCTCCCTCTCCCAAGAAACCAATAGCCCAATTTGGCGAGCAACTGTACCTCTTTCCCATTCTTGATCACAGACTCCAGCAGCGCTCCTGTGTAGCAGATGGACGATTCAGGAATGTCCGCATGGCTATGTGAAGGGAAACAACTGAGCGTTAGAGCTAGGGCCTGCCAATCCATCCACCCTGTACTGGCTGCATACAGGTGACAGTCAGTCCAAGCCAAGGAATCCCTCAGTACAGGAAAGTCATGATGAAGAGATTAACATCCCTGAGTTCTTCCTATACTCAGTTTATCCACTCAAAGCAGCACAACTTGTGCACCTTCACAGGACCCAAAGCCAAAGCTGACAACACAGCCTTTCCCTGCAGAACTCCACCCTGAGTTGAGATGAGAGACCTAGGCCACCTCTTTTTAATATGCAAGATGGTCCCACTTTTGACAATTATACACTTCCAGACTTGTCTAAGCTTCTAAGGTAGGTTATCGGGAGATCCAGCCTTTTCTACCATTACAAGGTCTCACATGACTTCAGGAAATGTCCTAGGGTTGGAGCCTCTTCCTAGCTCTGCCATCAAAAGATGTCCCAGCATTCTCTCTGCATTTAAGGCAAGAACACTGCTTCCCCCTCCCCCTTATCATACTGCAGGTAGCAGCTACTGCACTAAGTGTCTATCCTCACTACCTCGTCCTAGGAAACAGCTAGCAGCATCAAGACCACAATACTGAAATGACTTCTACACTTCACAAATCTGAAATGACCTACAACTTTCCACAAAGTGCAGATCTGACGGTGGCATTACCACAGATGTGGCTCAAGCCAAGCAGCACAGCAGTGAACTCACATACAGCAACAAGCTTCTCAGCCTCTGCTGCTGCTCAGCGTGACTTACAGTTTCAGCAGGTGCCTGACAATCTGCTCAGGAATGAGACGTTTCTGGCAGATGGTGCTGGCCTCCCACACCACTGCCTCACAGATAGTGCCATCCTGGAATCGTCGTAGCTCAGACTTCTCCCCCCAGAAAGTCCGGAAATCTGTAGCCTGATAGAAAACATTGGCCAAGACAGGCCAGGAGCATAGGTCACCACTGGGACCGACAAAAGTATTCCTGTGTCTGTCAGCAACCCCTGCAGTTACCCATAGCTACAGCAGAGCACCAGATATGATCCAGCCTCCTAACTCCCTTAACCAAAAGGAAGCCTCAGGATGGGTGGAGCAAAATATCAGCTCTGGGGCTTCCCACTGTTTCTTCCATGTCCCCATCCCTTCCTAATCATCATTCATTCCACAGTAAAGAGCCTCCTCACTCCCTTTCTCTGATACCTCTCAGACCACTAGAGAGCACCATCAGCCCAGTAGTCTTCTCATGCTTGACCTGTAACAGTTCACCCAAAGCAAGCACTCAAAAACACACCTAGCATCCCAAAAGCCACAAGTCCCCCCTCATCCACTGCTATCCCACTCCACACACACAGAGCTGGCCTCACCTCAGGGCGATCAGCCTGTGGTCCCTTCTCTAGAGTGCTAGCAGCAAACTCTGGGGCAAACAGGATCCCAAACATCAGAGATCCAACATCCTTGTGTTTTGGGGGTTCAGCATCAATTGCCCACTAAAAAGAAACAAAATACAATGCACACAGAGAGATGAAATGACAAGATAGATACACCTTCTGCTACAGAGGACATACAGAAGCCACATTTAACACGTTTTCCTGATAAGAAAGCCAATTGTTTTCACTCTGCCGCACTGCTGGGACAGGACTTCTGCCTAGACCAAGTTTCCCAGCAGTACCTCATTCCCAAGTAAAGGGCTCCAGTCCCTGTGTCCATTTTCTCCCCGGTGACCCAAGATTCCCTCCCCAGCATCCAGCAGTGCCATATAAAGGACCTCACAGTCAGCAAAGGATGCAGTGTCGCTGCCCACTGTGTTACCTCAGGGGTCTCAGGCAAGGAGTGAGCCACAAGCAGTGCTCTTCTGGCCAGCCCACGTGTCAGCAGTGAGACAATGAAGGGGAGAGCTGCAGCTACATAGTTCCCACCCCGATCCATCAGCTCATTCAGTAGCTGCATCTTCTTGCAGGCACTTTGCAGTTTGGAGACATGTTTAAGGCTGCAGGAGGAGGAGAGAAGCCAGTCAATTCCCTCCCTCTGATGCCTCCACCAAATCCTTCCTGAGACAGAAAGACCCTAGAGGTTGAGTGAAGTGAGGAGCAGTGGGTCCCGGTGTAGGATGGGAGCTACAGGAAGGGAACATGGCACTTTGATGTCCCAGGATGAAACACTGTTACCCTCTTCCTCTCCCACTAGACAGGTCTGAATCCAGCTTGACTGGAAACTAGAAGTAGCCCACTCCTCTCCAAAGAGGCTCCCTCAGCACCACCCAAGCATGAGGAAACTCACTGGAAGACATGGTCAAAGGTTCTAAGCATGGGCTTGGAGGTCATGAGCAGTGCCTGGAAGCCATCCACCATTCTGTTATCCAGAATTTCCATGGAGCATTTGGCTTCAAACTGAACCTGAACAAAGGAAGAGCAATAGTATGAAGGGTGAGGAGTTAAGCAAATCCTTTCAACAGCAGTTACCAGTGCTATCCTGAATGCTTGAATCAAGAGAGCCTCTATCCTTAGCATGCTGTCAAGCAACCATAATATATGCTGCTCTTTACACAGTCTCTCCTTGGTATCTCTACCAACAAGGTACATTTCTCTCTGCTCCAAAACAATTATTTCTGCTAAACAGATGATTAACTTCATCCAAAGGTGCCCACATAGAATAATCTTCCTCCATCACTCAAGCATAGGTATACCAAAATAGGTAAGCTGCAAATCCAAGACTTAAGATTTACTTCCAAGCTTTAGAGCTAAGGATGGATGTTAACATCTTAAGATGTTCTCCCAAGCCATAAGTACCTGGTGATATTTGCTGGCAGTCATATCCGCACAGAGGTTCACCAGCCCAGAGGGATCCACAAAGACCACTTCAAATGCATGGTGGAAGTCAGCCAGGGCAGGCTGAAACAACAGACAGTCCTTATTGCCACTGCGTAGGTACCAAGGCACCACCGCCCCACCACATCCCTATATTGAGCATGTGCTTGTCACAGCAAAACTGACAGCACAGCCAAACAAATACAGTCAGACAGCTGCTCACCAGGGAGGTATCTGTATCCTTTGCAAGGCTGATCCCTGTCACACACAGGTCAGTGGTAGCTGTAGAAAAAGAGGAAACAGCAAGTCAAACCGCTATCTACATCTCCTGCACTGGTCAGGGTGGTACAACCACTTGCCATCTATAACTACAGTTAGACTCAGTACATTAAACAGTGCTGGAATGTGATGCTGGTCTTCACCACGGGAAACAGATCTATCCATCCCACTCCTGTCTGTCCTACCTAAAGAGGGAGAAAAGCCACTCTTCCCTCTCCTCCACCCTGTTCAGGCATCATGCAGAGACTCCACTGACACTAGCCTTCCATTACCCAGAGAGCCCCTGGAAACTCACCTAGGAACTGAAGGACATTTCTCAGCACCTGGTACCCACTCATCACTTTGACAATCTTGCGTTTCACCACCAGGTAGGCAACAAGCATTGAGGCCAAAAAGCCACTAAAGCATCCCAAGCCCTGTGAAGGCAAACAGCTGAGTCAGCAAGAGCTCAAAGAGGCACCACAAGCTGCAGAACCCAGCTTACACATCTGCTCCTTGCCTGTCATCATCAGCAAAGCAGCCCCAGCACAGAAGACATGGTGGAAAAGCCCTGTACAACAAGCAGAGATGTGGATCCCCTTGCACAAAGGCAACACTTCAATATGCCAGGAAGTGGGACAAGTTCCCTGACTCCCTCCCTCCCCGCCCTCCCACCCCCCATCCAAAAAAAACCCACATCACTTCTAGGATCTCAACAAAGCATGAACTTCTGGTTCACATAGACCCATTGCAACACACAGGGCAGGATGGAGTTCCTTGAAACTAACACAGCTCAAATCACAAAACACCATCACCACCCACCATAGCCAAACCGTCAGTTTTCACCCCTAAAATAGAATACACTGAAAGCACATTTACTGGGCAAAACCTGTCCAGTCTCCTGAAAGGAAACTCACCTTGCTGAGCTGCCTCTGGTTCAGCCAAACTTTGAGAAGAGCCAGGCCATCCTTCATGCCTGGAAAGTCAGTGGATACACTAGACAAGAAATGCAGGTGGGACAACAGCACTGTGTCACAGAGGATGGAGTTGTTATAGTGTGGGGTGGCAGGCTCAGGAGCTCCTGTGCAAGGAGATAACAACATGTTGACCCAACCACAAATCTCCCACTCAAACGAAAGGGCTGCAGTGAACTCAACTCCTAGCACTCTGTACAGGCTGCAGCTGAAATGAACAGTCTTGTGCTCCCCTAGCTCCAAGCCCTACCTTCTTTGGGTGTGCTCTGCTCCAGGAACCAGGCTGTCCGGACATTGTTCTTGCTAGGATAAAAACGACTTGGCTTGAAGAAATTCGGGGCAGGACAGGCGTGAAGTCGAACAGTAACCAGCTTTTCATCCTTGCCTGTAAGCATTAAATGTTGGATATGTGGGAGAAAGAGATGTCAGAGACTCAGAGGCTACAACTTAAGAAAAGGAAGCAGGCCACTCTTGGAAAACAAAGAAAGCTCCTTCCCAATGAAGTAGTAGTGGAAGTCATCTCACAGCTGACTGACCACATCCTGAGGCCAACTTAAGTCCAGTCATACATCCCTGCTGACCAGCCAGGTACACATGCATTGCCCCAGGACCCTCCTGCTTGTACTGGCCTTGTCATGCCACTACCTGCCAGATTCACACCTGCTATCTCTTTGGGCATATGGAAAACACAAGCAACACCTGGTAGTCTTCACATTTCACATCACCTTAGAGAGTGCCAGACTGCATATAACTGCCTTGTGAAAGCAAGAGGATAGTGGTGAACAAGGGGTGAGGAGAAGGGACAGGAAGAACAATGCGAGACACAGCCACGCTTCTGTCTGCTTCACTTCATGAAATACCCAAAGCGTGGTCTAACCAGCAAGGCTGGGAGCACAGCCAAACTGCAGAAGACAGCTCAGAAACCATAAGAGGGAAAGAGACCTTCAAGAGTCACATGTGTGTGCAGAGAGAAGAGAACCAGGAGCATCAAAGCTCCAAAACTTATCACCAATTGCAGGGACAACTCTGAAATGACCCCTCCTCAAGGAGCCTCTTACATAGTGCAAGACCACTACTCTCCAGCCAGTGCCAGCACCAGATTACAACCCGATGGAGCAAGAGACAAGCACTACCTTGTGGCCTCAGGAGCAGAATGGGCTTGAGATGGTTGCTGTTCATGTAGGCAAACTTCACAGTTCCAAAGAGATTCTCCTTCGATAAATGCTGGGCAATGTGGGCCAGGTATAGAGCTCTCTTGCGGTGGTAGCGCTGGTTCAGGTTGTCTTTGTCCTGGAAGATTTCCTGCAAAGAGAGGAAAAAGGGAATCACACCTTTCCTGCCTCTGGAGTCTGATTAAGCCTAAGGCACTATGGCACCTACAGCTCTCCACAGCCCCACAGAGCCCTACCTCAGACGCGCACCTACTGTCCCAGAGAGCCTCAAGTCAGTCAGGAACACTGTTTTGCTGCTGGCACAGGAGGCTCTAGGAGCACAGATCAGAGCCATGCAAACTAACAGGACATTATGATATATGAAATGCTGTTAAGAACAAGAATGGACAGCAAGAGGACAGAGCTCTGCTAACAGCCTACAAACATTACTCTCCTTTTAACATAGACTTGGGATTAGGGCCAAAGTGCAGTCTCATACAAAGCCAAACTGCATTCTACTTCACCAGCAGCATAGAAGTTTCAGCTGACGCAGAAAGAATGAAGATTGTGAAGAGCTAAAGCCAAAACAGTTGAAAGCTCTAGATCTAGCACAAGTTGTCCTTGTCAGGAAAGCTGACATTCTGACTTCATCTTCACTCACAAATTGAGACACAGGGCAAGGACAACAGGGAACAGGAAAGGATGGGGCGCAGATAGGCACCAAGCTGCTTAGGGACTTTCACATCCAGACTCACCCGTGGCATGGTCACCGCCACATCCACATTGATCTCTGGCTTAATGCAGGTGCCTAGCAGATAGCTGCCCACTACACTCAGCTCGTCTGGGGGAAGGAAGTGAAACTTCCCCTTCACGTTGAAAGGCACTTGCAGGAACGGCACCTTCACACCTTTGGGAAGCCAGGTCTGGTCAGTGATCTGAGGACAAGACACACGTAAGCATCACTAACAGCAGAGACCAGCATCTCACATGGTACAGATCAGTGCTGGCAAACACCTGCACTCAGGTGATGGAGCATTCCCCTCTTCCCTCCAAAGGGATGCCTCCTCCATCCCTCTAGGACCTACATCAGTTTCTGGGGTCTCTGGGATGGCACTCAACAAGCTGTTAATTTCATGGAGGAAAGCATCGATCTTCTTCTTCTTCGTCTCCTTCAGCATCACCTCCTTTAGAAGTTCTTCAATCTACAAAGGAAAGGAGAAAATTAAAGAGAGCTGCAACACTGAAACTGCAGCTGCCCTTCACCTTGGCTTCTGGCACTGATAGCGAGCAAAGTGGCAGAGGAGCAAAGCAATATTCAAGTCTCTTTGAAAACCCTGATCAGAGCTGCAAGACTGTGATCAGCCCATAACACAGCCCTACCACTTCTGGAGAAGTGACAAATGGAAATCAACTCCATCCCATTCACTTCTGTGTGATGTCTAGTCACAAGATGTGCAATTATTCTCACAGGCTTTGCTCTCAGAAGGGTTTTTGTATGACAAAGCCTCAAGTTCAGGAAAAGACCTTGGTAGGCTCACAGTATGAATAAGGTCCTAGAGATCCTGCTACAGAACTCACAAGCAATCACAGAATCACAGAATCAGGAGATCAGAGCTGCTCTTCATCAAAATCACTATGGTAAGAACTAGCAAAAGCTATTTAGTTACCTCACAGAATCACAAGAGGTTGAAACAGACCTCTAGAGATCAAGTCCAACTTGTGCTAAAGTAGGTTCACTAAAATAAGATGCACAGGAGAGGATCCAGATGGGTTCTCATTATCTCCAGAGACAGAGACTCCACAACCTCTCATGGCATTCTGTTCCAGTTCTCTGTCACCCTCAAGTCAAGAGTTTTCCCTAATTTTAGTATAGAACGTTCTTTTTTCCAGCTTGTACCCAGTGCCCATTGTGCAGTCACTGGACAACACCTGACAGGACTTGGTCTCATCCACTTGACATTCACACATTACAGATTTCTAAGCATTGATGAGATTCCCCTCTCAGTCTCCTCCAGGCTGAAAAGCCCCAGGTCTCTCAGTCATTCCTTATAAGGGAGATACTCCAAGCCCCTCATCCTTGTGGCTGTCTGCTGGACACTCTCCAGAAGTTCCCATCCTTTCTTGAACTGGGGAGCCCAAACAGGACACAGCACTCACCAGGACAGAGAAGAGGGAGAGAAGAACCTCCTCCACCCTGCTGGCCATGTGTATTTTAATGCACCCAGGATATCATTGGCCTTCTTGGCCAGTGCTGGTTCATGGTCAACCTGTCATCTACCCAAACCCCCAGGCACCTTCCACAGAGCTCCTGTCCAGCAGGTCAACCCCTAACCTGTACTAATGCATGTCGTTATTCCTCACCAGGTATAGGACTTCACACTTGCCCTTGTTGAACCTCATCAGGTGTCTCTCCGCCCAACTCAGCCTCTCCAAGTCCTGCTCCTCCTAACACAGGCTACCTATCTTCCCAGAACACAGAAAATGATGTCCACAGCAATCAGCTGCACCTGACAATGTTACTTCCCCAATAAGCAACAGAACAGCTCTCGCTGGAGAGACCAGATCAGGAGGACCCAGGGCCTGACTGTAGCCATCACCGCTTCTCCACGTCCAGAAGCCCCGAGCCTAGGCCTCGCTGCTCCCAATCCCCAGCTCTGCCCGCGCTCGGGGAACACGCGTGGGACTGACCTGCAGGCGGAGCAGGCTGGAGTGGAAAAGGTCCTCCGTCTCTTTCAGCTGGTTCAACTCCTCGTTGGTGGGAGGCTTGTACAGTTCGGCCCGGCTCAGTTTCACCGGCTGCAGCGCCGGGACCGAGGCTGGGGCCGCCGCCTTCCTCTTCTTGCCCCGTGCCGCGCCGCGCCCGGGAGGCTGCGGAGCCTGCTCCCCCTCCTCGGCCTCCGCCGCTTCTGCTGGCTCCCTAAAGCCCTGTGAAGAGAAAACAGCATGATTCAAAGTGCCGGATCCCGGCCTGACCGACGGGACCAATCCCCGCAGCCTCCCCAGCACCCGCGTACCGCCATGGCCGCCCCCTCTCAGCCGCGTGCAGCACCACCCGCTCTGCCGGCGGCGCCAGGCCGCCCTCCTATTGGCTCTCATTCCGCGGCGCAAGGCTTCCGATTGGCTGCGTGGCGCTTCTCACCCCGCCTACGGGGCCGCCGAGATTGATTGGGAGGAGTCTTCTGTCGCTTTGCGGCAGGTCGTGCCGGGAGTGCTTTGCGGCAGCGACGTCTGATGTGTTCACAAGAAGGCGTGGCGTGAAGAAGCCCGGACAAAGTGAGGTGCTGCCTAATGAATGCACTGTTAATAATCCCAATTAAAGCTTGCACTGCCTTATGTACAATTTGCAATAAAACACCGTGCCAACACATGTAGTCCTAGGGACATGTACACCAGAAGTGTGGCAGGGACGGGTGCACTCCTAGGTTGTCTGCAGCCCTGAAACCTCGTGCCTCTCCAGAGCTGAAGTTACTTCAGAACTGGATTTTCTGTAGTTTTGTCCCATTTCTCAGCATGAAATGAGACATGCTGAGACATCATCTTGGCATGTGACAGATCTGTTCCAAACTTCCAGGCAGAAAAGCCAAGCCCTTCCTTTCAAAAGCTGGCCTGCAACAAACTTCAACCCACCCTGAAACAGAATCATGGAATGGCTCAGGTTGGAAGCAACTTAATGGGCCTGATCCCCTGGTTGACCTTTAATTGGTCCATGATGGTTCCCGAGATTATTTGTTCCATAACCTTCCCAGACACCGAGGTGAGACTGATAGGCCTGTAGCTACCAGGATTATCTTTCTGGCCCTTTTTGAAGATGGGCGTCACATTTGCCAGTTTCCAATCCACCGGGACATCCCCAGTTAGCCAGGACTGCCGAAAAATGATGGACAGTGGCTTGGTAATCACATCTGCCAACTCCCTCAGCACTCTAGGATGCAATCCATCTGGTCCCATGGACTTGTAAGCATCCAGCTTTTGCAGCAGGTCCAAAACTATCTCATCATGGATTATGAAGGGCTGTGTTCCCAGGGAGTAACAAGTCTTACTATTAAAGACTGAGGCAAAGAAGGCATTAAGTACCTCAGCCTTATCCTTACCCTTGGTGACCAGGTTGCCCTCAGCATGCAACAAGGGATGGAGATTCTCCCTAGCCTTCCTTTTGCTATTAATGTATTTATAAAAGCATTTACTGTTTTCCTTTACCTTAGTGGCCAAACTCAGTTCTAACTGCACTTTGGCTTTTCTAATTTTCTCCCTGCACAGCTTCACTACATACCTGTAATTCTCATAAGTAGCTTGCCCACTCTTCCAGAGACCATAAACTTTCCTTCTGCTCTTGAGTTCAAGCCAAAGGTCTCTGTTCAGCCAGCCCAGCCTCCTTGCCCATCAGCATCTTCCGTGACATGGGGATGATCAGGTTCTGCACCTTTAAAACCATTTCCTTAAAATATTCCCAGTTTATTCCAGTTACACCTCCACCCCCCTTTGTACCTACTTTAAAGTCCTCTGAATGAACCTAGCCAACTCCCGTCCTAAGACCCCTCTTGACCGGTGGGAGAAGCCACTCCTATCAGCTGCTAGCCGACCCAGTCTCATGTAAACAGAACCGAGGTCAAAAAAACCCTGCCAGGCCCACCAAGCACTGAGCCAGGTATTAAGCCGTTGGCCCATTATATCGAGTCCTTCATTATTCCTTATAGCTGGAGGGATAGAGGAGAACACAACTTGTGCTCCTGGAGATGTGCTCCAGCCCTGATGGCACACCCCTGGACTTACCCCATCAGCTCTGCGTTCTTTCTGTACTGGAAAGCCCCAGACCTGGATGCAGTACTCCAGATGAAGCTTCATAAGGCTAGAGCAGAGCATTTTCCAAAATTCCAGCAGCTCAGGGCCGTGCCCGCTGCCCTGGGCAGGCTGTTCCATGCCCACCGCCCTCTGGTGCAGAGCCTTTCCCCACCCCCGGCCCTCCCCTGACACAGCTCCATGCCGTTCCCTCGGCCCTGTCGCTGTCACTCAGAGCAGAGCTCAGTGCTGCCCTCCGCTCCTTGAGGAGCTGCAGACGCCATCAGGCTCCCCTTAGCTCCTCTGCTCTGGGCCCAGCACACTCCGGGCACTCAGCCACTCCCCCAGATTCTTCACCACTACTGTAACCCTCCTTTGGATGCTAGTATTTTTCTGTACTTGTGGGAGTTAAAACTGTATTGTTTTTGTTTTTTTTTTCCCTACCCCTCATACCAGCTAGGGTATGTTTAGATAAACAGATAAGCAGATAGTGAGAGGCTCAACTGTCGAGATTAGGAAAATGGATGGGACAAACACAATAAATGAGTAAACACCTGGAAGATTGTGGACCTAGAGTACGCAATTAAGGAGGAAACAGGAGGAATTCTTGGAGTCAGTGGATAGGGGGTCTAAGGTTGTCCTGTGTTTTTGGCTGTGCACACCTGCCTGTAGAATGCCTGACATACAATCACAAAGTAAAACTTTTCTTTTTTCACGTACTGTGTCTTCCACACCTACGCTCAGTGCTGGATGTAGAGCAGAGCTCTGGTGTCTCCACCTGGTGGCAGTGCTGGGCCTGATGCACCACCCTAAGGTTGGCTCTCTGGGCCTTTTAACATGGCGCCTTTGCGCATGCAACTCCAGATCTCAGGTTCAGCCAGGCTCATCTGAGTTGTAGGGGTACTTAAAGGCCAACTCTATGTGCAAACCCTTATGGGACGTCAAAGATCTGGCATTCAGATGATTTTGGTTCTGTTTCCGGCTCTTTGAATGCTTGTCCACAGGAATGTCACCTGAGCAACGCTCACTCAAGCACGCCTCCTGCAGCGCCCGCACCCTGCCTACAATCCTGTCGCCCCTCTCACGGCCGCCTGGGGACCCCCGCCAGTAAATGCCCCGCCCCTCCCAAGCCTCGCCCACCCACTCAGACTCCGCCCGCCGCCGCCCCTCCTGCCGTGAGCCGCCCGGGAAGGGACGGGGTGGGGTGCGCGGTGGGAAAGGTTGGAGAAAAGGGTGAGGACGGGGTAGGGAAGTAAACATGGGGTTAAGGACAAAGATGGGAATAGGACAGGGACTGAGGACCAATAATAGAGTCGGGGACAGGGAGTGGGGACGGAGATTGGAAGTGGGTGGGGATGGGGAAGGACAAACAGTGGGATTGGGGACAGCTTGAGACAGGGCTGGGGACAGTCAGAAGGATGGGGTGGGACAGAGGTGGGCACATAGACAGGGCTGGGGACAGGAAAGAGAGCCCATGGGGACGCCCTCACCCCCATTACACATGCAGCCAAGCCCCATAGCCCACCACGGGACAGCAGTGTCAGCGCATTGCCAGGCTCTGATCCTAGGGCCACCAGCAGAGGGTGACACGGGAACACCCTGATGCCACCCCCACACTAATGTGGCCACAGCATCTCAGGACTACTAGAGATGGGTGGCTGGGGGGGATATGGTGCTTCCACCTGTATTAAGAGCACTAAAAGAGAAAGGGGGGATGGCAGATTGTGGGTACATGTTGTGTGACAGTGGGTGACAATGTGTGGCAATGTGACAGAGGGGTGTTGATGCCCTCAATTGAGTGCCACTCACTGTGAAGAGCTTCTGTGTCACTCAGAAATGGAGACACGTGGTTCTGTGGAAGGGTCTGGCATCCCAATCCCTGCAGTGGTACATGTCCTCACCCCCAGAATGATGTCCCCTCTGCAGTGACACTCATGCCATGCAGTTGATGCTCAGTTTGAGTGTCATCACCCTGGATTGGCCTCAGTTATGCTTGTCCCCTCAGCATTGATGACACAAATGCCATTTGTCCATGTGCACGTGTTTCCCTGCACTCCATCAGATCCCAACATCACCTGCAAGGAACGACTTTCCAGCTAGAGCGGATGTTTGACTCCAAGCCAATTTTGCAAGTAATTATTGTGGACAGGCCCTGTGACTGCCAAGTGTGAATTATGGCATCAGCTCCTACCTCAGCAGGAATTCATCCTCAGCACTCCTGAAAGAAACAGTCTCCTTCCTCCATTCTCTCCCAGTCATGACGTGCCAAGGTTCCATGCTCCAGCTCAGCTCCTTTCCTAAATTTCCCATTCACTGTGTCCCAACCCCAGAGTGTCATGAGCACTGCCCAACACCATCAGCTGTTATGGGTATGCCCATGGGGTCAGGTTCCCCCCTGCTTCAGGGTGAGGGTGATTACAACCCAGCTCAGGATTTTTAGGAAGGCTAGTAGAACTTGTTGGGTCATTGCTACCCACAAGGTCACACCCCTAAGCTGCTCAAGAGCAACAGGAGACTAGGGACGTAGCCACCAGGGAAGGTGGATAACAAGGTTGCCCATGGGCATCAGTGGTGCGAGCCCATTGGCATTCCCCAGCCCCTAGGGGCTTCCTTTTGGAGACACACACACTGCCACATGCGCATACATATACATATGTACACGTATACACTTACATATGTGCACACACATGCTGTCCCAGAGTGGCCTGGCCGGCCCCACAGCAGTGCCAGTGATGCCTTCCCCACAACAGGCTATTTAACAAACTGTTTCAGCACCAGCAAGTCATTAATTATGCCCCATCCTAACATGCTAATACTAATAATCATCATAAGAAATTACTTCCTAGTATGCCACTTCCCCTGTCCACCCTCACAAGTGCTGCTCACCTCACACCACCACCCCAAGCCCAAAAAGACGTGGGATCCCATGTTAGGCTGTGCCGCAGCCCAACACCCGGACAGCACCACGACTGGCAGGGATCCTTCCCCTGGCTTCATCTCCAGGAGCTCAGGGCTTTCCAGCCCAGGTGACGCCATTCCCAGAGTGATGCCAGCATCTCCTTGGCACAGCATCCCTGAGCTTTTCTAAGGGGTGCAGGCAGACAAAGAGCCAGAATCGGCACACCCCTAGGGAAATCCAGATGCTATCCAGATGCTGTAGTCAGTATGGCATCTTACAAATGACAGAACTTCACAAAATAAAGTTTGTAGTTCCTTAAAAAGTTCTAGAGGGCACTAAAGAAACCACAACACAGTGGTTTAGTAGCCACTGGCTACCGTCATTTGTCCTTGGCCAAGTCACCCAAATACGTGACCTGACCCCAAATCCCAGAAATTATACAGCCACCACCCTTCCTGGGGCAACCTCATCTCTTTGTTCCATGCAGATAGAAACTGCATTGGGGTACTGAGCAGGGAGCAGGGTGTCTGGATGGGCTGAGACCCAGTGGCAGCATCACTTGCAGATGTCCCACATTTCCCACATGCAAAACCGGCTCCATACCTGAGTTTTGCATCCATTTGTGCCCCCTTGATCACCCCATGGCCACAGAAAGTCACAACCCAGCCACACAAGGGCTGGGCACTTCTGGCCGTGACTGTCCCATGCCTGATCTATGCAAGCTAGAAGTCAAAAAGTCCGGAGCACAGTAGTGTTTGGCTCCTGGTTCTGATGTAGATTTTGCCCAGGTCACCCAGTCCCACATCCTGCTCGAGCTGAGGACGGCTGAACGACTCAGGACGACCCACGTCCGGCTGAAGGACTCAGGTCCCTGTAGGAGGACAAGTTGCAGATCCTCTGCTGCGTCTCACCAGCACCAACCACCGCTGATGGCATGGCAGGACTATGACCTGCTTCATAGCACTGGGTCCAGGAGATCCCACAACATCCAGAGCCCCCCCTGAGGTGGACCATGCTCCAGGAGACTGCATTACATGTTCCTCCTATATAAAAACAACAAAAAAGCCTAAAAGGTCAAAAATCCAAAGACGACCAATCCATAATTGTTGGAGAGGAAAAAGAAAGGCTAATCATGACTATTCAAAGCCAGCAGCTCCAACAGCTTTATCACAAAACTTGGATGATCAGAATTGCACAAAGAACGGAAGGAAAGTTCTCATTTCATAGCACGCCAGCAGCATCTATCTGCTTTTAAATCACCAGTTTGCTTTTTGTATAAATGGGTTTGTGTCCTTGTTTTTATTTTCTGCCCGCTTTTGGCTTGCTCTCTGTGACAGGCTAGAGAGTGAGCCTGACAGATTTCCCTGCTGTTGCTGTGGGCTGTACACATAGCAACAAGGAGGAAAAACCCTTTTCTCTTTTTTTTTTTTCCCTGATCCTAAGAAACAATCTGCAGCCTCCAAAAATCACACCAAGGGACAGAAGGGACCTGCAGAGCTCTGATCCCTCTGGTTTTGCCATAGTGCAGAGCTTTGTTGGTTACACTTTTTTTTTTGTCATGATACCATCAAAACAGCCCTTGGCAATCTCCCTATAGCAGAATATTGCTCCATTTTCCAAAACAAAGAGATAATTCAATCTCTATGGCAGCTCCTGGGAGATGGTGGAGATAATTAGGAAGATGAAATGCAGTTCTTATTTACCATGGCTTAAACCTGCCAGTCCCAGGGCACTCAGTGATGCACACCTACAACATTCCCTCCCTCATTTTGTGTGGTGATGTTTTGGGCCTGGAGTGGGCAAATGGTGCTGAACTGGGGTGAATGGTGCTAGAAAAGGGATCACCTTAGCAATACAGAAAAACATCAACAGGGTGAGGAAGATGCTGATGACTTGATTCATTGAAAGCATGCTTGGTTCAGATTTAACAGCTCTGGCTCTTTTCATCACTGTCCTATTTCTCTGTAGTCCTTCAAGACCACTGTGGTCCATCCTTTTTGCTCACCAGATAGAGAAACTGAGAAACAGCAGTGGCAGGGATTGCCAGGGTGCAGGAGAGCTGAGCCAGGGCTGGCACAGGTGGTCAGGCAGCTCACTTGCAGCTCTCATTCTGCTCTCACCTCCCACAGAAACAGAGATGATACAGCTATGCTGTTATCCCTGCCAGATTCTTCTCTGCTTT